ATGGCCGGCAACCCTTAGCTCGCTGGGAACACCTGAAACTCTTGCTGTTGGAAGGATTTCGACCGTCTCAGGAGGGAAGCATGTTGGAGAAATTTCTGGCCCTAAAACAGGATGGTACCGTTAGGGATTACCGTTGCTGGTTCGAACTGTTAGCTGCCCCATCTGCCGGAGATTCCAGAATCAGTATTGGAAGGGAATTTCATAAATGGACCAAGTCCAGTAATTAGAGCAGAGGTGAGAATGCTGAGGCCTCAAGGATTGGGCCAAATCATGGAACTGGCCCAACGGGTCGAAGAGCCTAAGCGTCAGTCGGCCCAATTAGATCAAGGTCTTCTAGCTTGGGTCCATCTTACGCTGGCCCAATTGGGGGCAGCCCAAATTACTTGAATATCCATCCAAGAGGTTAACCGACGCTGAACTTCAATTGAAGAAAGAGAGGGGGCTATGTTACGGCTGTGATGAGCGTTTTTTCCCGGGGCATCAGTGCAAAAATTGTGAGTTACAGGTGCTCTTAGTGCAAGAGGAGGAATGTGAGGCATGATCGGAGGGTCCAGAAGAAGAGGTGGAAGTTCCGGCAAGTGGCACAGTGGAGCTATCCATAAAATCGGCAGTTGGGTTGTCCGCACCAAAGACTTTGAAGTTACGGGGGCTCATTTTGGGACAAGCAGTGATAGTCCTTATTGATTGCGGAGCTACGTACAACTTCATCTCAACTGAGCTGGTCCAGAAGTTGGGGCTGCAGGTTATGGAGTCCGCAAGCTATGGGGTCCTTATGGGTACGGGGCTGTAAGTGAAGGGGGGTGGCATTTGCAAGGGGGTTGTGGTCTCTCTGCTCGATATTGACATAGTGGAGGACTTCTTACCCCAGAAATTAGGCTATACAGATGTAATATTGGGGATGAAGTGTTTGGAGACATTGGGAAGGATGCAAGTGAACTGGGGTACCTTAACCATGCGCTTTAAGGTGGGAGGGGAATCTGTAGTGTTGCGGGGCGACCCTAGTTTGGATAAAACGCAAGTGTCGTTGAAATTGTTGGTAAAAACCTTTAAGGAGGGAGAGCAAGGAATTCTGTTGGAACTAGGGTGTTTAGGGGTGGAGCCGGGGAAGACCGTGGATGTAGTATAGGACTCAATTAAAGAGTTGTTGCAACGCCATAACAAGCTTTTTGAATGGACCAATGGACTTCCACCGCCAAGGGCTCGGGACCATGCTATTATCTTACCGCCAGAGGCAACTCCGATGAATGTAAGACCTTACCGGTATCCATTTGTTCAAAAGAACGAGATTGAGAGGTTGGTTGAAGAGATGCTTGCTGCAAGAATCATACAGCCGAGCTTCAGTCCATTCTCGAGCCCGGTGCTGTTGGTGAAGAAAAAAGATGGTAGTTGGAGGTTCTGTGTCAACTATCGAGCGCTTAACAAGGTTACGGTGCTAGACCGTTTCCCAATCCCCGTAATTGACGAGGTATTGGATGAATTGCATGGAGCTAGTGTCTTTTCTAAGTTGGACTTGAAGTCTAGCTACCATCAAATCCGGGTGAGGCAGGAAGACATTCCCAAGACGGCTTTCTGGACTCACGAGGGGTATTATGAGTTCTTGGTCATGCCCTTTGGGTTAACCAACGCCTCGGAAACCTTCCAACATCTGATGAATGAGATATTCAGGCTGTACTTACGGAAGTTCGTTCTTGTCTTCTTTGATGACATTCTAGTCTACAGCCCTTCGATGGAGGATCATCTTAAACACCTAAGCACGATGTTGGGGGCCTTGCAAGAACACTAGTTGTATGCTAATAGAAAGAAATGTTTGTTTGGGCAGCAGGAAGTTGAGTACACCGGTCACATGATTTTTGCGAAAAGAGTGGCATCAATTGAAAATTGAGGCTATGTTGAGCTGGCAAAGCCCATGCACTCTCAAGGAGCTTCGGGGATTTCTGGGACTCACGGATTATTACAGGTGATTGGTATCAAGCTAGGGTAAACTGGCTTGGCCTCTAACTGAACTGCTCAAGAAGGATCGCTTCAGATGGGATGATGAAATGAAGGCAGCATTTCAGAATCTTAAATCGGCTATGGTCAGGGTTTCGGTACTCGCGTTACCTAATTTTTCGAAGCAGTTTGTGGTTGAGTCGGATGCCTCGGGACAAGGTTTAAGGACGGTGTTGATGCAAGATAGTCACCCCATTGCATATTTCAGCAAGGTTCTCCCTCAGAGCTCCAGGCAAAAGCCAGTCAATGAGAGGGAACTAATGGCTATCGTGTTCGCCATCCAAAAATGGCATCACTACTTGTTGGGCAGACACTTTTTGGTCCGAACAGATCAGCGGAGTCTGAAATTTCTGTGGGAACAGCGCTTGGTGAGTGATGATCACCAGAAATGGCTCGCCAAGCTCATGGGGTACCAATTTGATATCCAGTATCGGCCGGGTTTAGAGAACAAGGCGGCGGATTCTCTTTCACAAATGTAACCCCGGATGAATGTTTTGGCATTAACTACGCCGAAAATTCTCCAGCTAGAAGAGGTGATGAAGGAGGTAGAGGTTGACGAAGTGTTGGGAAAATTAGTAGCAAATCTGCACACGGGAATTCCAGTGAAGTTTGGGTATGTACTGATTGACGGCATCATATTTCGTCGACCAATCCTTCCTAATTCACATCTTTGTTGAAAGAACTTCTTTTGTAATTCCTTACATAAGGATTCAGAAAATACCGGATCCCCACCTACACAAGCAAATTGTTGATAAAACTCCAAAATGGCATTTTCTTTTGATCCAATTTTTTTTCTCTCCTTATCATTCAGAAAAGAAATGTGAAATTCTTGAGTAGTCTACTTCCCTTCGAATGATGAATCCCTTAATTCTTAATTTAAGAATTAAAGTGAAAGTAAAGGAATCTTGTGTTACCATGGGAAGGTTGTATTGCCTTGCAACTCGCATTTGGCTACCCTCATGTAGTAGGAATGTCATGATTCAAAGGTAGGGGCACTTGGGGTTTCTCAAAACCTATAAGCGAATCACTAGAGAAGTATATTGGCAAGGAATGAAAAGGATGGTGAGGGATTACATGGCGGCATGCACAATTTGTTGGCAAAATAATTATATGGTGCTGTCTCCAGGAGGATTGCTGCAGCCCTTGCCAATTCCCGAGTTAGTTTAGGATGATGTGTCGATAGATTTCATAGAGGCCTTCTTCGGTCGGGAGGAGTTGATACTATATTTGTGGTGGTGGACCGTTTGAGTAAATATGGGCATTTCACTGGCCTTAAGCATCCTTTCACGGCTCCTATGGTGGCTGAAGTTTTCATACGTGAGATAGTCCGCCTGCACGGCATGCCACGCTCCATTGTTTGTGACAGGGATAGAATTTTTATGAGTACCTTCAGGAAGGCTTTATTCAAGGCACAAGGGACTGCTCTCAAGCACAGCACCCGCAAAAAGACGGGCAAACGGAGGTTGTGAATCGGTGCTTGGAAACTTATCTGAGGTGTTTTGTATCGGGCAAGCCGCGATCTTGGAGCTAGTACTTACATTGGGCAGAGTTCTGGTATAACACTTTCTTCCATACGGAAACCAAGCAGACCCCATTTCAAATAGTGTATAGTCGAGAGCCACCCCAGATCGTGTCCTTGGAAAGGGGTATGACAGCCAGTTCCTCGGTTGAGCAGCTTCTTTTAGAGCGTGATGAGGTCTTAAAAGAACTAAAAGGACAGCTTAGTAGAGCACAACAGATGACGAAAAAGAATGCAAATGGACACCGTCGTGACATCCAATTTGCGGTAGGACACTTGGTTTATCTCAAGCTACGCCCCTACCGCCAGAAATCTGTTGCAAAAAGATAATTTGAAAAGCTTTCTCCCAGATATTATGGACCTTTTGAAGTGGAATAAAAAAATTGGACAGGTAGCTTATAAACTGAAACTGCCCCCCACATTAGCTATTCACCCGGTCTTCCATGTGTCTTTACTCCGAAAAGCAGTGGGAAATTTGCAATCAATCCTGTCACTTCCATCCCAACTGACAGGGGAAGGAAAATTCATCCCGAAACCAGAGGCAGTGCTCGGTGTTCGTTCGAATCCTAACAACACAAGTGGGGAACCTAATATCTTAATCAAGTGGAAAGGTTTGCCAGACTTTGAGGCTACCTGGGAACCATTTGAAACTATCAGACTGCAATTTTCAAATTTCCACCTTGAGGACAAGGTGGATTTCGGTGCGGCACGTAATGATAGGCCTCCAGTCCAATTTACCTATACTAGAAGAAGGAAGTGTAGTGATCACGTGGATTCGGCCAAGTCAGTTGAGTTAGTTAGGGAGGGGTAAAAATGTAATAGTTTGTGATAGGCATTGCAAATAAATATGGGAGGGGGGGGGGGGGGGGGGGG